TAAAAAAGTTTGAAATATCCAATAAATTTCGTTCCACTTCATGATTGTGTCCCACTTGTTGTTGATTCTTCACAAAAAATTACAGTCTTATATCTTTATGTTTGAAGCCTGAAATGTGGCAAAAGGTCACAAAGTTCAAGGGGGCCGAATACTTTCACAAGGCACTGTATATATATATATATATATATATATATATATACACACACATACACACACACACACATACACATATGTATACACATACACATACGTGTGTGTGTGTGTGTGTGTGTGTGAGAGAGAGGGAGAGAGAGAGAAAGAGAGGGAGGCAGGATGCAAGCAGACTGCTCATAGACTATAAATGGCTCTTCCTGTGCCAGGGCATAGATATTAGATACAGTATCTGCTACAATCTATGCTCACTAAGCCAACTGTGAACAAAATTTACACAGAGGTATAAGAGAAGTTAAAGAGAAACAGAATATATGAGGATGCAGAAGATAGGGATAGGTGGAGAGTGATGATTCGCTGTGGCGACCCCTGAAGGGAAAAGCCGAAAGAAGAAGAAGAAAGAGAAAGAGAAACAGAATATGGGATAGAAAGATATAGATAGAAAAAGAAAAAAGACCATGCAGTTAGGGCCCACAGCTGGATCACCATGGTAACTTTAACTGGCAGGTCGATAAATAGGGCTCCTCCTCTTCCTCTCTCTAACTGGGCAAGACAGCAGTCGTTACACAAACTCGCACAGACAGCATCCGGTTTGAGGAACCCTTATAAGTGCGCTACATAAATCAGTACTTCAGACAGCATGTGACTTGCGTTTTGTTGTAAAGATACGCATGACCAGTATTCGAGCAAGTTGCTTGTTGATAAAGTACATCCAAAAAATATATAATATCCCTAAAACCTGGCAACTCAGTGCAATCTTACATATAAACATATAACTGCATCCATGTATAAGTTTAGTTTCCTCTTATTCTGACTTATCTCCTCATCTGAACCATCATTCTGAGAAGCTGTCAATACACTCAGAAATTCACATATCACACATGTTGCCTAAGACATTTTAGATAGTGATGAAATGCCTCAAGTGTGTGTATTCGTGTGTGTGGGTTTGAACGTACAGTCAGCTGCCAGCTGTTCAATAGGAATGTATTACCTTATAGATGTGCAGTTCATTTAATCAGGATTGAACTCATATGATACATGTAGCACATGGTACATGTGTAAGTTACATTTATATTACATCTGTAAGCAATATTTTGGTGTGTGTGAAATTTTCTCTCAGAGCCAGCCCTTTCAATGGTGTGTGTGTGTCAGTATGTGTGTGGCTGTGTATCTTCATGTAAACACAAGACTCACATATGAACAAATATGTGGTTACAAGCCCGTAGCTAGTACAAAAACAAAAATGCACCTATGTGTTGACTCAGTCTTTCACTTTTTCACTCGCTTTCTCTTCTCTTTCTGTACCTTCTGCTGCTGACCTTCCTTTGTTTACTGGCCATTGGCCGGATTCTCCCTTTGATTGGACCAAGACCATGTGATCGAAGACTGGGTAGAGCTCCACAAAGAGGCACTAAAATTAGCAACAGTCTAGCCCAGCACAACAGCTAGTTTATATATGCTTACAGGAGGAGGAAAGGAGAGACAGAGAGAAATGAAGAGGAAGGCAAAGGGAGAGGGAGAGACATCCTAAATTCAACCTGAAGTAGATGCTCACTTTTTCCACTGCTTCAGATGACTCAAGTGGGTCTCTGTGTGTAGCCACGTCCCATTCTCTACCCCATTGCTTGTCCCTCTTCTTCTTCCTTTATATGTGCCACAAATCAGTAGCTTACATACACAAACAGACCTCGCTGTTTTCGGATATGTGGGATGGACTGTGTGGCTGGTAAACTAAGGGACGTCTGATTCAAAAAGGCTCTGCAAATAATTTAACTCCTTGAAATGTTCACAATGGCCGTATTAAGTGAAACTTTTTATATCATTTGATCTTTCACTGAAAGGCAGATTCAAACTGGAAACCAGAAAATCCATTGCTCAAACTTGGGAAGGTTCTTATAGTTTTATCATAAATAGAAATTCAGGGTTTTTAAATGATCTTGACTAGTACTATTTTTAAAAAATAATTATAAGGGACGTTAACAGAGTGTAGCCACAGGTAGCATTGCCACCTCATAGCTCCAGGGATTGATCCTGATCTCAGGTTACTGTCTGTATGGCATATTACATGTTCTCCCCATGTTCACATGGGTTTCTTCTGTTTTTCCTTCCACTGTCCAAAAACATGCTGGTAGGCAGATTGGTTGCGCTAAATTGCCTCTCGGTGTGAATGTGCATGCGAATGGTGCCCTGCGATGGACTGGCGTCCCATCCAGGCTGGATTCTCCCACCTTGTGAACACTGTTACCTGGATAGGCTCTGGATCCACCATGACTCTGACCGGGACAAAGTAGTTACTGAAGATGAATGAAGTAACTTTATTTATTTAAAATTTTAGTGTCTTGGAGCTTACTTGACAAGAGAATTTCAATATACATACCATTTTTTAATTGTTTTTTTTAATTCTCATACTTTTCCAGATCGGTTTTCCAGATATATTTCTAGACCAGCACAACAGCTTTAAAGTAGAGCCACTGAGATTCAAATGGTAATTGTGAGTGCAGATCATGCCTTCAACTGATGGTGGTATGGGGACTGGGGAGAAGGATTGAGGGACTGTAAAGGCAGGAGAATGCAGAGTGGTTTCTGGTTTAAGCTATGGCTTTGTCAGCCTGGAAGAGACCACTCCTAATAGCATAGAAATGTTCCAACATTAGTTAAAGGTGATTAGCCAGAGCAACCCCAAGAGACTAGTGTACCCAAACTATGCCAATAAAATGCCTCCTCAGCATTAGAGCCATTTTTGTAACTCTATAGCTAGACAGATCGATAGATAGATAAAACTGACTGATTGATTGCATATTGGTATAATTTTTCTAATGCTACACTGGTGTATGAATGGACATTTCCACTTAACGTGCCTTGTGAGAATGGTAAAGTACACACACTGCTGTTATCAATGTAGATATTGAATGCAGTGGCTAAGGTGATTCACTGTTACTGTTTGTAAGTTTAGAATTAATGCACATTAATGCCATTTTTTTTTACTTTGCATTACTTCACACGTACAACATTTGTGTACAATTTAGGGAACTTTTTAATTATTGAAATTCTCCCTCTACAAATTCCAATCTATTCAAACAGGCCTATCCTCTGCACCTCTAGTTTGTGTGTATCTATGGCAGCTAGCTATGTGTTTATTCTGTGTCTCACAGTCTGGAGAACACTGTGCTCTCTGTAGTCAGGGTGAGCAGGACCAGGCCCTTATCAGTCTTTACAATCTACAATACTTCCTACTGAAGGGAGCTGGAGAAAGAAACAGAGTTTTGTGCTGTACTATTATTCAGAAGGTTGGAAAGAAATACTTGAATCAAACTTTCAAAGGTTTCACAATTATACTGCAATATTTATGCTTGACAAATTGTATGCAGTTATCCAAGTTATAGAAGCAAGTAAAAGCAAGAGGTCAACCAGGAAATCAGGAAGCATCTGAAGAGACAAAGAAAGCCAACTACTGACATGATCAAACATGATTGTGTGAATAAAAATGTAGCTCACTAACAAGCAGACTATGTTTTTTCTATTGCATTAGAGCACATTTAACTTTGTACTCTGCATGTTCCAATAGCCTGGAATGTGTTGCCAGATATAGCACTCAATCAATTCAAACACAGACATATTCATAGCCCTAAGAGACACAGAGAGAGTAAGCAAGTGAGGGGGAGAGAGTGCATTAATATCCTGTATTGGTCACTATTGAATGCCTGTGGGCTAGTTCAATATTGATATTACCATGTTCTTTGACACAGCAACTTGAAATAATCAGGCAGTGTTTATGTCCAGGTTTCAGAAATGTATCACACTACAAAAATTTAAGTTCTAGGTCTGGCCATTTAATGACTCAAGCAAGCTTGACTGAAAAATATTTTAGTTCAGCTTTTTTAGTTCACACAACTCCATCAGGCAATCTGAAAACAGCCTGTATCTTTAAACATTTAGATGTCATTGCGGTGTAGGGAGTGATGGTGGGATGGGGAGAAAAACTATTTAAGAACACATTCTTAACTTTTCTTATATTACTTGCATGTTCCCTGTGGAACATGGTAGCTAAAAGCTTAGGAGTGGGGTTATCTTTTTTTTTTCATTCTTTTTT